CCCAGTGGACGGAAGTATTTATTGGTTCGGAAGGTGGTATCAAAGGAGACCGAATCTCCAAAAAGCGCATAATCTTCACGCATCCTACTGTCCGCCCAAAATATATTAGCAACTTTCTCTTCGGAATCCACCTCTACAGCATAAAAGAATCCAGGATGCTTGTCCTTTTGGTCCTCAAAGTAGTCCAGCAAATAAGTCGCTTCACCACGAGCCATTGTCCTTTGCCTTTTAGTGTTCAAGTGGTTCTTCTAATCGGATTTGGTAAATCTCAGATTTTGATACCCACCAGCACAATCAGCCAATAACTGATACGATGCACTAAGACTCATCCCGGCATCGCGATTAGCTTGAGCCATCTTTTTCTGAGCATCACTCATGCACTTGTTCGACTTGTGCAAGTGCATATGCTCGGTAGAGTGCAAACCATGACTGTGGGCTTCTACGAATTCATACACCACAAATCCCTCCCTAGCAGCATCCCATCCAAAACGAACACGGGCGGGACATCCATCTCTAACTCGAGGCCTCTTTCTTTTGCAAACCATTCTCTCCTCAACCTTGTCTTCTGACTGTATCTGATTATCCATATTGACTTTGCTTGTGGAAGTCCAGCCTTCCTTATTACAAAAGTAATAAAGGTATGCATAATTTTTCTCCACCACTCCTTTAGAATTCTTGATCTTTCTTATGTGTTCCCCATCTATTCGAACACCAAACCCTTTTTTGTGAGCGTAGCGCTTATAGAAATCAAAACACTCATCCTTAGTGCGATAAAAGATGTTCTTCCTCGCTTCCTCGTCTTCTAGATCCAACGTCTTATGAGCTGCGAGTTAATGGTATGAGGCATGTTATTATCCATTCTTGACCACAAACTGTTAGAATACATAGGCTTCAACAAATATCCAGAATTCAAATAAATAATATCTATAACTACCAGACTAGTATCAAACAATGCATTAAATAGTGGGTCACACACCAAATATCATGTTTCGTTACAGCCCAGACAAATATCATGTTTCGTTAAACAAATATCGACAAGCAGATATACAAATATCCTTACAGCCCAGACAAATATCATGTTTCATTAAACAAATATCGGCAAGCAAATATACAAATATCCTCGCAGCCCAGACAAATACCATGTTTAGTTAAACACATATCTGCAAAGAAACAGACAAATATCCGAAAGATCCAGACAGATATGTCATTCTCACAACAATTTCAACATCAAACACCCATAACAACATCAACATCATTCAATGCTATTCTCACAACAATCTCAACATCAAATATTCAATGCAACCAACCAATCTCACAACAACACAAACATATAAAGAACTCAATCAACCTTTATCTTCTTCTTCTTCTTCGTTGAGGGCACGAGCACCACTTGAATCTTCATCAACAAACTCATATGATGTAGGATAGATTCTTCTTCTTCACTATTTTGTGCGATCGATTTACCCTTATTCATTGGAGAAGATCCTTGATCATCCAACTCCCCATTGTCGTCGATCGGCATCGTAGAAGGTCGCCGGAAAGGAAAGATGGTCGCCGGAAAAGAAGATGGTCGCCGGAAAATACAGTTGGGCGGCGGCTCTCTTCCTTTGGAAGAGAAGAAAAACAGAGAAAAATTGAAGAGAGAGAGGCAATTTTCGGGTTTGGGTGGGTAGGGTAGTTGGGAGCATTAAATTCCTCCACTTTCTTTGAATTTCCTATTTTTGATTTTTGTTTCCCCAAATAAATGACCCACTTGGGCCCCTTCTTTCCATTTCTCCCCCCTTGTAGGGGTGGGAAACGGTTTGGTCCGGTTAAAACCGGACCGGATTAACCCGGTTTTTTGAAACCGTATTGAGCAAAGCTACAACCGGAAATTGGATTGGATGGACACCCGGTTTCAACCGTGACCGGACTGGGTTGGATCCGGTCCGATCCGGTTTCAACCAAAAAACTGGATATTTTCACTTCCACCAAACGCCACCGTTCTAATTCTTCTTCTCTCACAAAACCAAAAAACACACGCATCTGCAACCAACAAATTGCCAAATCTCTCTCTCTCTCTCCTTCTCTGTCTCTGTTTCTTTCCCTCTCACATTGTAAGTGTCGCCGATAGAGAGTTCTCTCCCACCGACGCAACCATCGCCACCATTCCCGAGTCTTCCTCGTCGTCGCAGTCACCATCGTCACCATCACCAAATCATCGTTGCCGTCGCCATCCCCTTTCACTTGTTCTTGCTTCATTGTTGTTGTTGCATGTTTCGATCTGGGCAAGATCGAGACGGAGGGTGCAGATCAAAGGTGGTCTCAAATCGGTTTGTGAGACTGAGAAGAGAGAGAGACCAGATTGGGTGCGATCTCACATCGTCGTCTCCATCGTTGTCGTTGTAGCCGTAACCATCGCCTAGAGCAGAGACCAGACCTCGACCGCTCTGCCAGAAGGGGGGATCGCGGTGCCGTCAGGGAAGAAAGGGCGAGTCGGCGCGGCGGCTGCTTCGACGGTTGTGCGGCGATCGGCTGATCTGTTTCTTCTTCTAGAGCAGAGAGCAAAGAGAGAGATTGACAATGCGGCGGGGAGGTGGAGACTACGATGGAGATGGCCACATTAGGGTTTTACGGATGGGTATTTGGGCTTCTGGGTTGAGAGGGGTTGGGCTTCAGTAAAGGGCTTCAATAAAGGGCTGGGCTTCAGTAAAGGGTTGGGCTGGGAAGGGCCCGGTTTTCCGGTTATTTCCGGTTTTAACCGGGTTAAAACTGGTACAGTTTTTTCTCATATATAGGCAACCGGAATCCGGACCAGACCGGGTTGTATCCGGTTTTCGGTTGTAACCGGGACGGTTTAAACTGGCCGGTTTCCGGTTTGACCGGGAAACTGGAACCGGATTCCCAGCCCTACCCCCTTGCCACCTAAACCCTACCAAGCCGCCACCATCAGCTCCATCTTTCATCTCAGCTGGGCTAAAAAACCCACAAAACTCCACTAGGCCGTTTCAGTATCTCCACAAATATCCAAACAACACAGACAAATATCCAAACGACACAGACAAATATCCAAAAAAGACAGACTAATATCCAGTCTCAATAAAAAACTATCCAAACCACCCAACCTAAATATCCGAACGTCGCGAACTAATATCCGTTCAGCCCACTCGGGCTTGCGGGGCCCGCCGGGCCCACTAATTTAAAAACCAAAAAACAAAACCCTAAACCCTACCCCTTTTAACGTTCTTCCCCAATTTCCAAATCTCTCCCTTTCCTCTGCCTTTCTTCCTCTCCCGAACGCAGACGAAGCGTCGCGCGGTGATTGGAACTCGGCGGCAGCAAAGTCTGGCGGCGGCGGCGACCTTGCAGCGAAGGCGGAGATCTCGGCGGCGACCTTGCTGCGAAGTCGGAGATCTCGGCGGCGGCGGCGAAGCAGCGATCTCGGCGGCGGCACTTTGCAGGGAACTCGGGTTCTTGATCAAGTAAGTTTTCAAGCATAGTTTCGTGGATATTAGTTTTCGTTTGGATAGATTTGAGTTAGGGTTACATGATTCGTCTTTTGTTGATTTTATTTCTTGGTTTTGTGGAATGGCTTTCTGTTTGTGTCGATATTAATTCTGTTTGAGTCGATATTAGTTCTGTTTGAGTCGATATTAATTCTTTTTGTGTCGATATTAGTTCTATTTGTGTGGTTATTAGTAATGTTTGTCTCGATATTAGTTGTCTTTGTGTCGATATTTGTTCTGTTTGTGTCGATATTAATTCTGTTTGTGTTGCTATTGGGATTCTTTTGATTTGGGGGATTTGGATTTCTTTCTATTTGCGGGATCTGAGATTTTTATTGATATTAGCTATTAGTTCAATGATATGTGTTCTTTTCAGGAATTGTGCAAGATGACAAAATCCAAAAGGTGTTCGATGCCAGCTCCTCCAAGAGAAGGGGAGGCGGAGAAACATCACTGGCTCAATCCAGACGCATCATGCTGGGAAAACAAAGATTTTGACAACCTTGACCTAAATCAGGTACATAGATGTTGTTTTTGCTTCTTAAGTGACATGGTTGCATATAGTAAACTAAATATTTTACAACATATGTAGCTTGCGGCAATGGAGTCAATGGTTGAGAGCATGATCCAAATGTGGAAGGCTCGGGACGACGCGCTCAAAAAAATTATCAAGCGTCAGCAAGACAATAGTTGAACTATTGCTTTCTCATTTCTTATATGGTTCTGCTTTTTCGGATTTGACATTCTTGGATTATTGTAATGACATTAAATACTAGTTTTATCGCAATTTATCTATCAAACGACTCTTTTTATTGGGTATAAAAAAACGACTCTTTTTATTAAGAATTCGAGTTTTTTATTCTGGAATATTATTTGCTCGTCGAAAACTCATCTCCACAAAACAAATATCCAAACCACTCAAACTAATATCCGACTGTCGCACTAATATCCGTTCTCCATTACAACTAATAATTAAACCTTTAACCCTAAAAAAAATTCCTAAACCCTAACACTAACACCCTAATCACTTTTCCAAAAAAGCCCTATTAGAATATCGAAAAGTCCAAGAAAATTTCGAAAACATGAACTAATATCAATTCAAACCTAATCTAGACCCTAAACCCTTAACATAAACCGTAACACAAACCATAAACCATAAACTATTATTATTTAATGGGCCCTCGGCGGGCAGCCCTAACTAAGGTTGCAAGCCTTACGTGTTAGGACTTCCTAGTGTGTTTAATTTCCTAGTGTGTTTAATTTGATGTAAGAAACAATATTCTAATCCTTCACAAATTGAAAACCAAACCATAAACCCTAAAACTTAAACTCTAAATTGGTGTAATCAGTTTCGGGTGGTTGGGTTATTTTGGGGTTTGGTAAATATTAATTTAATGATGGCTACTGAAAACAAATAAATATCCAACACAATGATTCAAAGTAATATCAACACAACACATAATAACATCCACTGAAAACAAATAAATATCCAAACAAACATACATATATATCACATGGGGCCCAAAAATTTCATTCTCTTTCCACTCCAACCCAAAATCCCGCCCAAACTGAAGCCGGGCCCACCACGCTTTCCACTCCAACCCAAAATCCCGCCCAAACTGAGGCCGGGCCCACCACGCCACGAACTCGGCTCGCCTTCTGCGTCGCACGCTGGGCCGGCTTCTACACGGAAGCCTATCTCCAGCACATTTAAGTGAGCCACCACTCTCCTCCATTGGATGAAGCCCAAGCACACGTGGCCCAAAATCTGACCCTATCAGTATCTCCTAACAAAATGGCCTGTTAGGAGACTAACTTTTTCGGTACAAGTCGACTTAGATCTCTAAAAGCAATCCAGCATGATAACAAAATAAACAAACAAATCAGATTTTTGCTTGCTTTCTTTACAAGTTCATTATAGTTCTTTATATACCTATATATTAGCTTTTGTCATCTACTTCATTGTTTCCACTTATCAGTATTTCCACTGATCAATCATATCACATGTTAGAAGCTACACGTTTCCTATATGTGTTTTGTTTTAGTAGTTTTACTTAGCTTTCCACCACATATACAACTATGCTAACATCAAAACACATAAGCTACAATAAACTTATAGAAATCTCATATTTGAAAGATACCATATTCGCACAAAATTCCAGTTATAAACACAAAATTTCCATCTGATTTTTCAAGCCATAAACTTCAAAATCCAAAAATTACTATGAACACCACAAAACAGACTCCCAGGTTCAAGCACCACGAGCACAAAGATTGCAGATTTACATACATCATAAAAACCACTAATTTGACAACTTAATCAATCCCAAAGTTTATACCTATATCAGCCCAACATCGTAAGAATCGAAATCATTCATGAGAAATGACAGAAAGCTCCTAAGGATCTCACGCAATAGTAGTGACTTCAGGTAGCTATCAGGTTTATGAACTATTGTCATTTTAACAAAAATCTGGGTTTCCAAATCATAAACCTAAAACAATCAAACATTAAAACTCAGCATACCAAAATAATAGCTAAAGAACATACCAAACATCATTTTCTAATGCACAATAGCATTCATTTCCAACCTTGAGAACTCCTACCCACATCAATTTAGGATAGAAGTCAGAACCCTTCAAGTAGAGTCAAAATCGAAGGCATAAAACGAGCCCTTACCTTATCCTGTCACCGGCGCTACTGTCCTCGGCGGCGTTGCAGTCTCGGTACTCGCCTTTTCCAATAGCTTCCGAGGCCATAAAATCAAAACCCAAAAAGAAGCAAATCCGAAATCCAAACCCAGAAATCTAAAGCAAAACAAGATTCATTAGAACCTAAAAAACTTACCACAGGGACACCACCCTGCCGTCGTCATCTTCGTCGCCGGCGAGATCCTATAACGGCGCCGGCGAGTCCCTTTCTCCCATTTCCTTCGACCAAAACCAGAACCAAAACCCCAGAGATAATAAAACATAATCAGAACCCCAAACCCGAAAAGATCGAAACACCAAATAAATCGAAATCGCCAAAAGAACCCCCAAATACGACATGCAAGAAAAAACCCGTCTTACCCTCACCGCCGCGTCCATCGCCGGTAAGACTTTGACCTGCGGGGATCCTCGTTTTCCCTTCCCTTGATCGAAAGACAACCCTGAAATCAAAACTAAACAACAATCAATCCCAAAACAACAAAAACCTCAAAAACCAGACATGCAATCCAAAACCATCAGTTACCCCTGATCGTTGTTGACGCCGTCGTTTCCGTCGTCGCCGAAGATGGCACCGGCCGTCCTCGCTGATCAATCACCGTAAGTCGCCGTCCGGCCTCTGTTTCCCTTGCTCCTCCATCGTCCCTCTCTGCCGAGAGGGACTTCCCATTCCCGCCTCGATCAGGCCCAAAAAAAAAAATCCGAATCAAAACACAAACAAAAACATGCATTAGAACTGAAACACTCGATCAAACCAACATCAGACCCCATAACTCCCCTAAATCGACGTGCAAAACCCAAAACCTACCTCTGACCATCATTGTCGGCGTCAATCGCCCTCAATGCCACTATCTCGGTCTATCTCCGATGATTAATTCAGGTCGGCACCAGAAGAGATAAAAAGAGGGAGAGAAGCAGATCGAGATGAGAGGTGAGGTGAGGAACAGGAGAGAACTGAGAAGAGAGGATAAGGTCGTTTGTGTTTTTTTTTCTTTTCTTCTGATATGAGTTTCTACTTTCGAGAGAGTAGTGAGAATTAGGAGTGTTCAAACGGTTTGGTTACCATGGTAACCGTTTTAACCGGTACTATTTGGATAATTTGGTTTGGTTAATAAGGATAATTGGTTTGGTTTGGTTAAAGTTTTTAGCTTGTTTGGTTTAGGTGGTTTGGTTTGGTTTCAGACACTCCTAATCAGTCAAACCAAATTAACCAGTTAAGTAATTAGTCATATATCCAACATATATTATATACACATACTTAATACTTTGCATAACCACTCAAGAGTTAACGTTCATCCATTTTAGACTCATAAAATAGAAAGCTCAATATTGCTCATAAAGTGTATATTTGTATATGTAAAATGTAGACTACAACATATGGACGCCTAATTTAGATAAATTTCATACATTATGATGGATGAAAACTTGAAAGGAAGGTCATTTCCAGCCTATGATAATTGCTAAGAGATATAAGTCAATTTACACAAACACAACAATTCATTAACTCATACCATTGTTTTAGTTGCATGTATTTTTGTTAAGGGTCAACTATAACTACGTGTTGTTTGTTATGTTTTATTCATTATATAAATTGCGAATTGTTGCATTAACCGAAAAAATTGTATCGTCAATGATAATGAGATTTTATATTGGTTAATCTGGTTAACCAATTAACCAAACCGATTAAACTTTAGTTTGGTTAATTTGGTTGTTGTATTAGTTTGGACGGTTTGGTTATGATATTGTTTTTCATGGTTAATGGAATTTAGCCTTATTTGATTTGGTTATAACCATGGTAACCATTTGAACACCCCTAGTGAGAAGGAGGGCGGCTGCCGGCTGGTGCTAAATGAGTTTGGGTTTCATTAGGCTAAAATGAGCCTCCTAAATGACTAAAATGCCCCCTCTAATTAGTCTATGCTTAGACGTTGCCACTCGGTCCGCAGAAAAACGGAAAAACACCAAAATATTAGTCCTAATCCTTTCGGCTTTTGAACCGTTGACCCAAGGATCAACTAAAAGTAAATACACAACAAACACCACTTCAGACCATTTATGCAATCGCCAATCATCTGAATGCATATTAATCTCAATCAATTTTGGAGTAAATCAACTTAATACTTAACTTACATGTTAATTATTAGAATTCCGTAGCAATCCCAATTAACCACTTAATATTTAACCTACTAAAAAAGATTGACTCTATTTTGGAATATTTGTCTATATATATATATTTTACGAAAAATCCCTAACACGAGAAGTCGTGTTCAATAGAACGTGACAATCGTATCACCAAATTCATTCAAAATCATCAATAATTCAATAACTAAATCACCATATAAAAATTATCTTCTACAAGAAAACTCAATATAAAACCTTAACACGATCAATAGAACGTTTAAGGTTTTTCATTTTCAATCCTTCAACATAAACGAACTACGTGGACTTTGATCCCGATTACTCGGGTACGTAGGCAACCAATAGGTTCGAGTCCAACTAATTAAAAAACTCTTTCTTCACTTTTGGGGTTTTACATCAATAGATGTATGCTCAAATTGTAATAACAAAATACTTAATTGAATGTGATAATACGCAATAAGCTACAAATAATGAAACACCCAACCTTTAAAAAACTTATCGATTTAAGTAGTACCCATTTGGGGCGTTGTGGGGTGTGAATTCCCACACGTAACCGTACTCTCGAACCCAGAACTCTAAAATATCACAGACCAAATTCCGGTTTCGACCCTGTAGTCGAGACCAGACCAAATGAGTGTTGGCGACTCCGAGCGTGACGCGACGAATCCCTCGATCTCGAGGGGCGGTTGCGACATTTATCACGTGGTTCTCAAAAAAATTATACAACAATAAGCTATACACCTCATTACATTCCAGCGGCGGATCCAGGACATAAGAGAGCACTGGGCCGTATTTGAATAGAATATTAGATACCATAAATAAAAATATATAATAATATAGTTTTCATTACAACGCCAATTGTACAATAAGGTCTTTTAATTTAGCAAATTCATCAATAATATAATCTCCATCCATATTGATAATATACTCTTTTCAAAGAAAATAGCTAAGTAATCAACGAGAAATTCATCGCTCATTTCGTTGCACAAATCAATGTTCATGTTCAATTGCTGAAAATATTCTCTTCATGGTAGTTGTTGAAACGGCTAGGTCAACACTAGACAAATCAACCGACAAATCAATTTGTATTATGTATCCATCCCTATTTCCTCCAGCTTCTCTAATATTTTTGCAAGAGAACAAACTTCATCTTCCTCACATGAGTAGTGCATTCTCCAAAGAATGCATCTCATAGCCTTCAAAGTCTCGAGGCTAAACTCTCGAGCAAGTTTGTAAATATTTTCTTCATCAAAACACCAGAAAGAACGGTTAGAATCTAGTGCCCCACTCAATTGAGGCAATCTAAATGATGACTTAGCAAGTTTGTAAATATTTTCTTAATCAAAAGATTGGAAAGAAAACCAGCTCAACGGGCTGGCAGAGAAATCCATTTTGGGTCTGCTCGTCTCCTCGTTCTTGTTTTGTTTTGGGGGGATTGTGAATTTTTTTGAATTTTGCAAGGGTGTGCTTTAGTTTAGAGTTTTTTATTTTATTTTAATGAAACTTTACACTTTTAGGTTTTCATGTAATTTTTGAAATAAAATCAGTTGGGCTATAGAAAATTTAGTATAAATTTAGAGTAATGGTTTCGATATGTTCATCTGGGCCAAATACCTAAATCGAAAAATTTTATAAGCACTAAACTAACTCTGGATCAGGAGGAGGGCTGAGCCGGGGCCTGTGTTGGCCCAGCCCTGGATCCGCCACTGTTACATTCTCAAATTTCATACTCACCTTGCTCCGACCAACTGGCCGGGGCCCACGCTAGTATTGATATATATTCAAATGTTGAATTTGTTATTGTAGTAAAACCAAAAAAATGGTTTCTTCCAACATTAGACCACCCACAGCGTGGGTTGGTTTTGTGGGAAAAAAGGGAAATGTGACCACAATGTGGGGGGAATAGGGGATTAAATGGGTTTTGTGGGTTTAGTGTGTGGGAAAACCCACAAGATGAGACAAATGGTGAGGGGAAGTGGCGGATGGGAAAGGACAACCCTTTTTCTGATTTTAGCAAAGGCTTGTTTGGAAAGCTGTGTTTTTGTCTCCTCGTATTATTGTGATTTTGTCATTGATGATATCATACTTAATTAGTGATGATAAAAAATATGTCTAAATTAAAAAAAAATTATGTCGAAATGTTCGTATTAATTAATTATCACTAAGTACGTAATAATGATGATCATTATATGAAAATAAAGTGACAAAACCAACTATAGATTGAGTTTAACAAAAAAGTACTAAACTGATTACCCACTTTTCCCACCACCACACTGTGACCAAATCATCCAATTTTCCCACTTTTCCCTCTTTTCCCACATTTTCCCCCACCCACATTGTGGATGGTCTTAGACCCATAGCAAGGTTGGGGAAAGGAAAAAATGAGAAAAAAGGGTGGGATTGACCACGATGGGGTCGGGAAGTTTGGGAAAAAAAAGAAAAAAAAGTGGGAAGGGTTTCCTTGCAGAAAACTTAAATGGAGGAGTGGGGACCACGCAGACAGAGAGAGGCATGCCAAATGTTTGGTTTTTTCTTTTTTTTTTTCAATCTTTATTTTAGTGTTTTCTTATGGGGTTTTTGTAAGGACCATATTTTACAACGATCATATTTGTTAAAATTATTTTTTCAACGATCATATTTTTAAAGGACATATTTTTTCAGCTCTATAAATAGAATTTATTCTTCACTGTTTTTCCAACACTTCTCTAACTCTCTTCCTATCTTCCAAACAAAAAAATCTCTTCTTCCCAAACTCTCTGTAATCGTAATCGTGGTCTTCTGCAAATTATTGAGATTCGTTATTGACGACGTCATATTTAATTTTGATGACGCCATTGATCAAGTATTAATTATTACTATATATATATAAATAATATCGAAATAAAATTAACATATCAACTCTAGATTAATTTTTTCAAAAAAAACAAATATGAAATACACTCTTTTTCCTACCACTTGTGGCCAAATCTTTCCCCACCCATTTTCCCCACTTTCCCCAGGAGCGGATCAGGTCAGTAACCCTTATGGCGAGTAACCATCAGTAACCTGTCCACCTCTGCATGACATCAGCATTACCACACTCCTGGAAAGCCTTTTATCTTTTCCCCTTTAATCTTTAACAGACCATTTCTCTCTCGTTTTAAGTCGGAATTTAAATTTTTTTGCACAGATAAATCAGATTAAATGTGCTTTTTAAAATGATATCCACTTTGATATATTTTTAGTACAAAAAAATTGAATAATTTTTTACCAGTCATTACCATATGGTATGCTCATATTTAATACCATATGGTAAGAAAGCGTACCATGATGGTATGAACATACCAATATGGTAAGAAGGTTGAATACATGATAGTATGAGTATACTAACTGTCATTTACGACTTTTATCATTGTTTACCACAAGTTACCACCCACATACCATAGTGGTAAAGTATAGTAATTTTTGGTTCAGTATTTTTTTCACCCAGAAATTTGTAGACCCAATAGATAATGATGAGTTCGTTCCTTCTGAGCAAACGTTTTCAGAAACGACTTAAAAACGAAAAAGTTACCATATGGTATGTAGTTGGTAAAAAAAGTTTCTCGAAATATATTGAAAATTGATCTCATTTCTCTCTTCTCTCTTCTGTCTTCTCTCTGAACTAGGGTTATCTTCCGATTTCGATGGCGGTCGCCGCTGACGGTGCCCCATCGGGAGCCGTCGGTGGCGGTAGCCCTAGGGTTTCACTGTTTGGGATTGCTTCGGATAGTAGATTGGATTATTATGAGCCTGAATTCATTGATGGAGCGCTAAGAATTCCGAATTCGGTGATTGAAGAAGGGTCTAAACGCTGGGCGAACAACCTCGTTGGGCAATTCCTAGGGCATCCTGCTTCAATATCCGCTATCAGATTCTGGGCTAATTGGTTATGGGGAAGAGACGGAGAAGTGCGTACATCTAAGCTTGGCGACAAGCTCGTCCTGTTTCAGTTTTTGTCGGCTGCAATCTGCCAGTGGGTTTTCGAGGGCGGTCCGTGGCACCATCGGGATAACGTGCTGTTTCTGAGGAAGTGGGAGCCAGGCATCCAACCTCTTGCGATTGACAACTCCAAAATTCCGGTATGGGTGAGAATTACTAATCTTCCAACTGAGTTTGCGAACAAGGAAGGTCTGGGTAGAATTGCTAGTTCGATTGGGCGCCCTCTGTGTATGGACATTCCTACAAGAAGGGGGACGAAGCTTGGGATTGCGAAGGTATGTGTTGAAATTTCTGCACAAGCTAAGCGACTTACTAAGCTCGATATGAAGCCTGATGGGATGAATACTCTATGGGTGAACTTGGAATATTGTAATCTGCCTGTCTTGTGTGCTAAGAGTGGTGAATTTGGTCATGATTGTGCTGTTCCTGGGGGGGGGGGGGGCTTCAGTTAAGGAATGGAGAGTTAAGAAGGTAGTGAAGGGAGCTTTAAACCCTGAAGATGTGGATAAGGGTAAAGAGGTGGTTCAGTGTAATGTGGAAGAGCCTAGTGGATCTAGTGTGATTCAGGGGTGTGCTATGTCCTCTCCTGGGGCCATGACTATTGCTAGTACGAGTTGTACTCTGCCAACGAGTAATGTTGCGCTTGTTGTGGATGAGGATGGGTTTACACTTGTGGAGAATAGGAAAAGAAGATCCAATCAGGCAGTGGCTACTGGGGAGCACAGACAACCTTTCCTTGATGCGACTAATTTCCCCTCTTTGCAGAAGTCCAAATCCGTTTCTAAATCTCCTCCTTCTCCTCCTCCAACCAGGGGGAGAGGTAGGGGTAAGAAACGTGGAAAATGAAGATCTTGAGTTGGAATATCAGAGGTTTCAACACCTCTGATAAACAATCAGTTGTGCTTCGTAAGTTGAGGCAGCTGAATATTGATATAGCAGCTATACTAGAGACAAGAGTAGCAAAAGATAAAAGTACTCATATAGTAAATAAGTCATTTTCAGAATGGTAATTTGAAGATAACTATAGCAAATCTAAATCTGGTTGTGTGTGGCTTTTCTGGAAGTCAAATCTGCAAGTGACAAAAGTTGATGAAGTGGAGCATTTTATGAAGATTCTGGTGGCTGGTTTGTGTCCTGATTATCTTTTATTTGTGTATAGTCCTAATGGGGAGCAAGATCGACGAGTCCTGTATAGGGAGCTACTGGTTCATAAGGAACTTACTCTGCCCTTGCCAGTGATGGGAGACTTTAATGTTATTGCTGAGGTATCAGATTCTTCCAATGTAGTGGATATAAACCAGAGTATGATGGACTTCCAAGGTTGGATTGATGGTACGCAGTTAGTTGATCACAAGGTGTTGGGGTCCTGGTTTACATGGTGGAACAAACAGCAAAAGAATCCCATAGCTAAGAGAATAGATAGAGTTTTGGTTAATGAGGTTTGGCTGGATGGTTTTCTGTCTAGTACAGTTCATACTCCCCCCCCCCCCCCCAGGGGGTCTCAGATCATTGTGGATTGGTTCTTCAACCTTTTCCAAAGTTGGCAACGCTTCCTAAGCCTTTTAAATATTTCAAGTTTTGGTGCTCTCATCCAGGCTATCTGGATATGGTCACTGAAGCATGGGGGATTTCACAGAGTGGTTATCCTCATTATCAGTTTTATGGGAAGCTACAAGAGGTGAAAAGTAGGCTGAAAAAGCTAAATAAAGAAGTCTTCTGGGATATATCAGGTCAAGCACGTGAGCTTGAGAGGCGTCTAGAGAGTCTACAAACGGAAGTATTGCTGAATCCGGATTCAGTTAATGTTGAAGCAGAGGCATTACTTGCTAAGAAATGCCAGGAAGTTCAAAAGGCCGAAGAGCTATTTTACAAACAGAAATCTCGTGCTCAGTGGGTCCAGACAGGGGATATGAATACTCCTTTATTTCATAAAGCCTTGAGGATCAGAACTCATAAGCAGCAGATCACTACTCTAAAGGATTCAAATGGTACTGATATCACTGATGTGTTTCAAATGGGGAAGATAGCTGTGGATTTTTATGCTTAGTTGATAGGTGAGGTTGATCTTAATGTGCAGGGAGCTTCTGTGGAGTATTATGAGTCTATATTGACTAATAAGGCTACTGATCATGACAATCAACTACTTAATAGAGGTATCACGGAGGATGAGATTTATCAAGTTTTTAAACAGTTGGGTAGAGACAAGGCTCCTGGCCCTGATGGGTTCCCAATTGAATTCTTTCTTCTTCACTAGGATCTTATCAAGGTAGATGTTTATGCTATTGTCTCACAGTTTTATCAGACTGAGCACATGCCTCGTAAAATCAACACCACAGTGTTTACTCTAGTTGCTATGGTGCAGAATGCTGCGTATATGAAGGACTTTCGCCCTATCTCGTGCTGCAATACTTTATACAAAGGATAGCTAATCGTCTGGCTGCTGTTCTCCCTTCCCTGGTGAGTCACTCACAATTTGCTTTTATAAAAGGAAGGTCTATAACCGACAATATTCTTCTTGCCTCTGAGTTTGTTAAGGATTATCAATCAAAAACTATTAGCTCTCGGTGTGTGATAAAAATTGATCTAATGAAGGCTTTTGATTCTGTGAATTGGGAGTTTTTGTTTGATGTCTTGGCTGCTATGGGTTTGAAAGGGAAATTTGTTAACTTACTCCGGGCCTGTGTTTGCACTCCCACGGCTAGTGTGTCTCTTAATGGGGGGTCTATGTGGTTTCTTTGGAATGAAGAAAGGATTAAGACAGGGTGACCCTCTGTCTCCATATTTGTTTACAGTCGCTATGGAAGTTCTTGATGGGTTAATGAAAAAGGTTGCACGTGATAATCAAATCCCTTATCATCCCCGTTAAACCCCTAGCTATAACCCACCTTTGTTTCGCTGATGATTTATTAGTGTTTACAAATGGGTCAATTAGGGGGGGTGTTAGGCATTAGAAGATTGTTAGATGAATTTTACAGCTTATCTGGTCTTAGATGCAATCCTGCGAAATGCCAGCTGTTCTGTGCAGGAATCCCAGAGGAGGAAAAGCAATCCATATCTGTTTACTCTGGATTTCCTCTAGGTCAGCTACCTGTGAAGTACTTAGGAGTTCCTCTGATCACCAATAAACTATCTAGAAGGGATTGTCATGTCTTGGTGGATAAGATCACTCATAGAGTTCAAAGCTGGAGGGCTAAACTATTGAGTTTGCAGGCAGGGCTCAGCTTATCAGCTCGGTGTTATCCAGTATCTTGCAGTATTGGATGAACATCTTTTTGCTCCCTAAGTTTGTAATATCTGAAGTTGAGAGAATATGCAACCAGTTCCTCTGGGATGTCACTGATACAAGTCTGAGAACTAGAACACTGGTTGCCTGGAAGTCTGTTGCTCGCCCGACGAAGGAATGAGACCCGGGGATTAGGAATTTTGTCGTTTGGAATAAGGCTTGGGTGATTAGACATGTTTGGAATGTCCTTATATAAAGTGGCTCATTATGGGTTGCATGGGTACGACGTTATCGTATAAAGCAGAAGTCGTTTTGGGATTTGAAGGTAGGAGCATCTGGTTCCTGGGTTTGGAAGCGTTTGCTGAAGTGTCGGCCTGAAGTCCAGCATCTTGTCTCTGATCAAGGGAGTTTACACCTATGGGATGGTGAACCTATGGCTCGATACTCTTTTAAAAGGGTGTGGGATTCCATTAGATCACATGACTCACCTGTTGGTTGGTATGAATTGGTCTGGAGTGAGGAAGTGATACTTCGGCATGGCATTATTCTCTGGCTAGCTATCCTGGGCAGATTGCGTAGTCAGGATAAGCTACTTGATTGTGGTTAATCGGTTTCAGGGTTCTGTGTGTTTTGTCCTGGGGGAATTGAGACCTGTTATCAGCTTTTTTATGATTACCCCTTTATGAAGTTTGTTGTTACAAGCTGTTTGTCATCTTGGTCTCCTGTTAATGGCCACGGCACATGGGAGGAGGTGATTGACTGGTGTGCAAGTGAATGGAAGGGTAAGGGTTCTGCAACAGTTGCTTGTCGAGCTATTTGGAGTCTCGTTGTTAGCCTAACTTGGCGGGAGCGTTGTGCAAGATTGTACGGGGTACAGACTGTTAAAGCCCCAGGAGTTCTTTGTAGAGAAGTTTGCAGAGTCTTGGAATGGCGGGCGGAGATTGATGTTGATCTTCAGAAGAGCCTTCATGCGATCAGATTGGGTTGTTTATAGGTTTTGTTTTTGTTGTTTCTAATTTTGTGAACATATGTTTTGTTTGAGAGGCAATCGCCCCGAGCTTAATGAAATTTTTGATTAACCATAAAAAAAATTATCTCATTTTGTAGAGCACAACTAACTCGTTCCATGTGTGCAAAAAAAAAATTTGAAATCCGAGTTAAAACGAAGAAGATAAGAGCCGATTATGAAAACTAGAGAAAATAAAATGTCATTAATTGACAATTCTTAGATCTGAATTTTTTGGACCCACTTAAAACTAAAGATCCATATTTAATTACTCATAATTCAGTAACCAATGATTACTGACTCTATTCTATCCTAAGCCACTTTCCCCACCCTTTCTGCCCTATTTTCCCTTCCAATATTGTTGTGAATGGTCTTGGTTAGCCAGCAGGGAAAATCGTTTGGGACCGATTGGGAAACTTGAGCTGAAGCTTCAACTGATAAGTAGCCATAGTAGAACCGCTCCCCTGCTTCCGATTATCCACACTCTCCTTCCGCGCCAAAACCGCAAACCCGCGAGCGAACGCGAAGGACCCAGTTCCGCCGACCACCGCCAGCAGCCGTTCCTCATCCCTCCCCGCTGGCGCCGCATTCCTCGCCTGCACGCTCAAACTCCCGGAAAAATCCGGCGTCTGGAAAGTCAGATAGACGACGTTGAAAGCCGAATCGGCAAACGTATCGACGGGGATTATGAACCCCTGAGCTTTCCCGACCACTCTGGAAGTATTCTCCGGGCCTTCGGTCAGCGATCGGTGGAAAACGAACACACCGCCGGCGGCGGCGGCGGCAGAGGTGTGTCTGGTGGACGGCGAGACCTGAGGCTGATGGAGGTACAGAGAGAGAGCCACCCAAGGCTTGCTGGTGTTGGGATTACTGTGGTGGGGAATCGGGGAGAGGAAAGCGAGGAGGAGGACGATGAGGATGGAAAGGAGGACGGAGACGCAGAATATGATCCTACAGAGCATGATGGGTTTTTCCTGGCGACTCTATATTCCCGCCTCGGGGTACTCTGTTTTAATGTTGAACTGTTTGGGAGGAAATATAGCGCCGATTAAGTACGGTGGGAGATGATTTGGTTCAACGAATTCACTGATGGGAGGGAGGGAGTCGCCTATGGGAACACGGAAAGGGAAGACCTAGAGCGGGGATTAAGTACAGGGGAGATGGTTTTGGTTTAACTAATTCACTGATAAGAGTCGCATTTGTGGTTACACGAAGATCTACGGCGCCGATTAAGTACAACTAACTGCTCCATTATATCACAGCTTGCCCGTTCAAGTCCAACGCATTTTATTGTAGGCCAGACTGCATGTGATTTGTGACGGCCGATTGGGTGATGACATGTAAAATCATACTTTGAATAAGATTGTTAGCCAAACCTGTCTTATTGGAAAGATAAGACAAAAATTAACCCCTCAATTTTAACCAATTAAATTGAAGAAAAGAAGATGTACAAATGACTTTTTTTTTTCTTTTCAAAATCATTGGTTCAAAAGACAATCATACCAGAGAAATAAGAAAAGCCGGGAGTCGACCAATATGCAAACTCCCGGACCATTTGTACAAATGATATTTTCATTAAAAAGTAACTTTACGCCATCACAAGTACTAGGGAATTTCCAGTACACGAAATTTAACAATAAGAAGTCCCAAACATTCACCACAATTAACAATCAAGGAAGTCCCTAAAGGCTAAGATTGGCTATTATCGTCATAATCTTTCTCCGCAGGCTTATAGGGACAATATAGATTTGAATTCTACACCTAATCGCCAAAATATTATCTCGGCAATATTATAATTCCGGACAAAAGCTCCACATCCGCCCAAAATTTAAGGTACACTACACGACCTGTGGCTGGGGTGTTAGTTCAGGTGGGTTCGGTTACCCAAACCAAAATCCGAAACTGAAAATCACTAAAACCGAATCCGAACTCGATAAGTACTTTCGGGTTCCGGTTACCCGAAACCCAAAAATTCTTTATCAGGTTCGGTTCGATTAAAGCAAAACCGAAACCCGAAAGCCCGAACGCCTAAAAATACAGGCTGAGTTCTATTCATTGGAGGTTTTTATCCAAAACCCGAAAAACCAATAAGCAAAACCGAAAAACCCGAAACCCAAAAAAACCGAAAATGTATATAATCAGGTCGGTTTCGGGTAAACCCGAAAAACCAAACCCGAATTGACACCCCTACCTGTGGCATCGACTGCCAGCAATCAGTCTGGTTTTTAAGCCTAATCCGCGATCGACGAAGCAAAATAGCACAGAAGAGATGAACATGTATAATAACACAGCATCAGCAGAGAGCTGCAATAGCAAAGCATGCCCTCCTTGTTTTGCACGGGCTTGGGACCGTCCATGCACGAATGCACAGGCCAAGTTACATGCATAATCCTACGCTACAATAAACACGCATGCAAAATCGACAAAAACAGTTTCGAAATCCAACGATCGTAATAACACCAATGCTCAAATATTGTGACCACCAAATGCAATCCAAGCACCCGAGCGCAGAACCATCAAATCAATCATGAACCCTTGATACCATGTTGTGAAGTCCAAGTAAACCACAACGCACGTGCAGCGAAAGCATCATTACACGGATAATATCAGACCACAGCCAACCGAAGCAGTGCACTAACGAGCACATGGAGAAGAGTTATGTCTACCAGTCAATAAGTTCTTGTAGAATCTTGAGCCTAGACAATGTAAACCATGAGAGCGAAACTAGCACACATGAATGAAGAAGTGTAATACCATATCAACCAGTTGAAAATTTCTTGTAGCAGCATCTGGATATTGCACAATCCACAGAGCATAAACCAGCACCACCGACCATATTTGTGTCTACCACTAGTTTCCACGACTAAGCATACGTTAGAAAGCACAATCAGAGTAAACCTTAGTTTGCCGAGTCCTCCACCAGCACAATCCACAGAGCATAAACCAGCACCACCGACCACATTTGTGCCTACCACTAGTTTCCACGACAACGCATACGTCAGAAAGCACAATCAGAGTAGACCTTTATTTGCCGACCCGACAGTCCACCAGCGCTCCATTCTGGGAGACAGGCAAGGTAAATTAGCCAAAGATCCCTGCCAAATCAACTTGGCAAATGCAACAACTGCATTCCAACTTAAGGCTCAAGGAAAAAATTACGCAAACCAAACCCCTGGCACCAGCATGATAACCCAACAAGGTGCAAAGTAGCTGACACCAATCGTCCTTTGGGACCAGATAGCATGACAGACAAAAACCAATCAACGCTGCCCCAAGTCCAGTCATGCGGAATCAAATTGCCTGGATAAATCATATAGACCAAAGCACAACATATGACCAGTAAACAGAAACCAATAGCTGTAAAACATACGACATTGCTGACAGATTATCACCTCAAGAGAGCGTTGATACCTACACAAAAGAGAGGAAAATAAAAAACAGTGGACAATAAGGGAGTACACAACTGAAAGTGAACAAAAAGGACCAGGTGAGAAGAACTGATTTCATAATGCCCTAATAGGTGAAGAGAGAACACTTCCGGCCACCAACACCAGCACATGGAATCACTCCTGCCTTCTCCCCACCTGATGGCAGAACTCGAACAAGAGACAGACTACATACAGCCATCAAGAAACCATACAAAGAAACCAAAAGATGCGAGGATAACCAATGCTGGCCGGTGTGAGTATTGGCATTCTCAACATAAACAATCCATTATATCACTAATGCATTTGTTGCATTCCTAGCAGTTGGCTTCTATGTATAAGAAAATCAGGTCAAACAACTCACTAAACAGATGGGGGACAGAATGATGTAAAGAATAGTCCAGAGCAGCTCCTGCAAGGATCATCAATTAGTGGCAAGAGGCTCACTTTAACATGGCAACCATGTACTGCGACACAGCGCGAGACAGAAACCTGTCTTGCTTTGCATACCACTGTTCAATGCCAAACAGAGAACACGATGTCACCAACCCAATACCAGAAAACGATTTATTGTGAAGCACAAACCACCACTAAATGAAAGGTAGAACAGGTAGAGGGCAAGAAGAACTCATGTATTGATATCATGACCAGTGCAACCCGTGTGTTAAATGCTCTAGCCACCAAAAACCAGAGCATAATATCAGTCTACATCTACCCCCAGAGTAGACAACTCGTTCGCTCCAGAACTACCACCACCAACAGAGAAAGCAAGAATAACACAGCAGTCAATGACATAATTTGACATCCCAGAAGTACGATGGAAGGAAAGGTTAACAGGTGGGAGAAAAGGAAGAACTCAGTCTGTCACGATGAAGCAAGATATCCGCTATCAGTTCAACTCCTGTGAGGACACACTGCACAACTACGCCAAAATTTGTCCGCTCCAGAACTACCACCACCAACAGAAAGCACAGACAGAAAGCAAGGAATCCACAAGACAATTAATGACAGAGTTTAACATCCCAGAAGTACTGTGGAAAAACAGGAAAAAAGATGGAGAAAAGGAAGAACTGTTGTCAAGTCGGTTCAATCGATGAAGCAAGATATCTGCTAGCTTCTCTAGCTGCCACAACTCATCCGCCTAAGTAGTACCACCAACAAAAGAGTACAGAAAGAAAGCAAGAAAATACAAGAGAATCAATGGCATAATATATAATATGATCCCAGAAGCACGATGGAAGAATAGAACAGGTGGGACGAAAGGAAGAACTCAGCCAAGTTAATCTGATCGATGAAGCAAGATATCTGCTAACTCTTCTTAGACACCTAAGACCTTATATCAGTTCGCCAACTGCTGTGAGAACACAGTGTGCTTTGCCAAGATTTGTCCACTCCAGAACTACCACCACCAACAGAATGCACAGAAAGAAACCAAGGAAAGAACAAGAAATCAATGACAGTTTAACATCCCAGAAGTACAGTGGAAGAACAGGAAAAAAAATGGGAAGGAAGAACTCTTGTCAAGACGTTCGATTGGTGAAGCAATATATCTGCTAGCTGCTCTTAGCCACCTAACACATGTATCTCGGTCCACCACCTTCTGAGAGGACACAGACTGTAAAAGACCTTGCCACTGTATTACAGCCAACATAAAACATATAGACAAGGCGTGGGGAAACCAGAAAATAATCAAGACAAAACAGAGTGGACAACGATGAGCATTAACAAGGTAAGAGGAACTCATTTCTTTTAGGTGAGGTTGATGAAGCATGCTCAATGCTCTAAGCATCCAACCACCAGTTAATATTAACCTACATGTCACTTGAGTGCAGAACCACAAAATAGAATACCAAAAATCACCATGAACAAAAACATAGAAAGAATGCAGTGCTCACTTATCAGATAAGTTATCTGATCTTCGAAGAAACCACGTCAGATCATGCCAAGAATACAGGAAAGATCACTGACAAGAATCAACCGGAACGACAGCTCGAGAAAGCAAGACACTAACCAAAACCATGGATAATCCTTCATTGCCAGACCCAATGTAACCTGACAGTTCACCAAACATAGAGCACAATGTCACCAACAAAACAACATAAAACTACCCACCCACAATAGACCACCAACTTCTTACAAAACCTCCAGTCTGTAAAATTGCTACCGGATGAGATGTATACCAATCTCCCCCAGCATCTGTAATGAACATATAAGAACAGATCAATGGCAACATCTAACATCCCTAAAGTGCACAAAAGAACAGGTGAGAGGGAAGGAAGAGCTTATAATCATCTGTTCTGCTTAATACTGCCCAACCAAACCAGTATACCGGACCCCCAGCATCTGTAATGAACATATAAGAACAGATCAATGGCAACATCTAAGATCCCTAAAGTACACAAAAGAACAGGGTGAGAGGGAAGGAAGAGCTTATGATCATCTGATCTGCTTAATACTGTCCAACCAAACCAGTATACCGGACCCCCAGCATCTGTAATGAACATATAAGAACAGATCAATGGCAACATCTAAGATCCCTAAAGTACACAAAAGAACAGGGTGAGAGGGAAGGAAGAGCTTATGATCATCTGATCTGCTTAATACTGTCCAACCAAACCAGTATACCGGACCCCCAGCATCTGTAATGAACATATAAGAACAGATCAATGGCAACATCTAAGATCCCTAAAGTACACAAAAGAACAGGGTGAGAGGGAAGGAAGAGCTTATGATCATCTGTTCTTCATAATACTGTCCACCCAAACCAGTACATCGGACCCCCAACTCCTGAGAGGAAAAGCAACATGAAAAGAAACCAGGCTACTATCACCACCAACATAAAAACATCGAAATTTAAGGCCAAAAACTTAGGCAAACCAAAAATAACAATTAACCAACTCCTCTTTGGTCAGAGCTGAATGTCAATCAGTACTTTGAAAGAAACACGGCCAAAACCTGAAGATTCAGAAGATAACGGACAAAACCATTTAGCTCCACCATAGTATCTAATGATTTCTATTGAAAAACAATAGACACTAGGACTAGAGAGGGTAAGAAGTCAAATGATGATTGGTCAAACATGCTATCTGCTAGACGCTGTAAGCCACCCAGCAATTGTTTATGTCAGCCTATGTCACCCTGAGAGAGCACAACATAAAAAAAAATGAACACGAAAACTACCAACAACAGAAACACAGAAGGAAACCAAAAAACCGAAAACCACTAGATAACTCTATAACCAAATCCTCGCTGGTCAGATACAGATATCAGATCTCCCAAGAAACCAAGTCAGTATTCCTCGAGACCCTGAAGATTCAGAGCCAGAAATATACGAAAGCCATTAAGCTTCCAAATACAGGATAACAATTGGGACAACTATGAACAAAATAAAGGAAGTGAGCTAAGACACGTAAACCAAACCCTTCCCTTCGCTTTTGATGCCTTTCCAATACCAACGAACCCTGAGAATGCACCAATGAACATAGAGCACGAGTTACCAACCAACAACAGAACACAGACTTACTAACCGTCACGGTGATCCAATATATCACACATAATACTTCCACTTAGCCACCCATGCCCAACATCGGGTCCCCAATTCCTTTCTGAGAAAGCGAAAAAACATAAAGAGAAACAGCCCACTGTCACGAACAGAGAAGACAAAGAAGTCCAGAAAACGTAGGGAAACCACAAAATAATCAATTCTCCTCCCTGGTCAGATCCGAATATCAATCAGTTCTCTCAACAAACCAGGGCCAAATCATCAAGATTCAAAATCCAGAAAAGGGGAACCATTAAGCCAGACCACCATTGAAATCTAATGATCTCTAACAAGGACAAAGATATAGCTTCAATAGCCCTCGCTGAAGTCAATAAGCCATGGTATCCATCTGTTCAGAATCAGAATTAGCCAAGAATCACGGTCTCGATCGGCATAGGAACAATAACCTAATCAAATACGAAGATAAGGAAGAGAAAAGAACTAGCAAGGCAGAGTTCCCGAATCCTCAAGAGTGAGCCTCCGGACCTGCAGATGAACCAAATCTGCAAATCAATACCGTAGACCTAGGATCGACCGTCAAAGAAACAACGAACAGAGGAGAAAAAACGTGTCTGTATAGCAATGATAATATGAAGACTCCATCCATATGACTCCAGCTTCCACTACACAATCAGGCATCGATCGTGCTTCAAGATCCTAGATCGGGCAAGAAGAAACAGAAAATCAACCGTTGCTGAACAAAACAGATTCGTCCAATCTTAATTCAAATACTCGAGTCTTTAACCAAGCACAAGAAGATCTAGGTGAAATCCACGACGATCAACCGAGAAATCCAAAGGAAACACCACGAAATCAACGAGCAGCGCCATATAGAGAAGCAAAGAGAAGTGATCGCTGATGCCTAGGCATGATCAGACAAGCAAATTGCAAACCAAATCACAATCACGCCAGTTCGTAATCCATCGCAAGGCAAGCAAAAAAAGCATGTGAAAGAAGAAAGATGAAAACTCTTTGACCGATGGCTTCCGACCCGCCTAGACGATCCACGCGGAATCCTTAAATCGGAAGAAAGACCATCTAAAACTCTTTACCTTATCACAGAATAGCAGCGAGGGAAGGGAGATGTTTATTTATAAGTCAGTGAGTTGGAGACGGAGGGCTGAGATTCATCCGTGATCTAAAGACGGACGGTTGTGATATCATTACTATCTGTTTCCGAGTCGGTTGTGATAATTTTATCTTTCCGCAAGCCGCCAGCTAAGGCGGTGGCTGGTGTGGTGTGTATTGTTTTGTTCGTTACTTTGTTTGATTCCCGCGGTTTCCTTTTTCCTGTTAAACGAAGGACAACAGAAACAGCGCATCATTTATCAACAATATTTTGCTTTTTATTTTTAATGGACGCTTAATGGTTATCCTTCAATTTTTTGTTAAATGTATTGAGGTGAACATGATACATATGGGAATTGCGATCCATATCTGATCACGACTCACGTCGGCCAACCTAATAAAAATATTTATAAAAACGTAGAAATTTATGATAAATTCATTTATTACTCTACAAACTTTGAAAACCCCAAAAATAATTAATATAATGGAAATTATAGATTTTTTTTTGGTAGTCCAGAGGCCGCAAAATGCGCCTAACATTGCTGGAACACAAGTCTGGGAGACTGACTCCCAACAAGATCGAACAACAACCAATGATTCAACAGGGGTAGGAGTTGGAAATCAGATGAAGCCCCAGTGGTAAGCTATGCCCTGTCGAAACTAAGAAGTCTGCCACCACGTTTCCCTTCCTATAGATATGTTCCACACGAAGCTGCTAGTCGCGCCGAATCATTCTCCGCACCTGTATCACAACATGATAGTGCGAGTGTGTGTTTGTAGCCGACTCAATCAGCTCCACTACTGCTCGAGAGTTCGTCTGGATAATTGCCTTCCTCACACCCAGCTCCCAAGCACACTGCATACCCTGAAGGACACCCATGAGCTCGGCTATAGTAATCGATCCGCCCCCCAAGTTCATCGCAAATACCCCCAAAAAATGACCCTGATCGTCACGCACCACTCCTCCAGCAGTCGCACTTTGGCTCGCCAAATCCATCGAGCCATCTGTATTCACGCAGCACCACCCAGGTTGGGGTAGCTTTTTTCCAGCCAATCAAATTCCACTCTCCTTACCTCCTCTCCCCCAAAACAACGACCTCCTTCTTTATGGCTTCATCAATATGCTTAGTCACCTACGTGCAGCTTCTTGTAACTGAGATGGCGCCGCCAACTTCTTCTCAAAGACATGGGAGTTCCTATTTTTCCAAAGCAACCAACACACCACAACAAATACAGTAGGACCTAACCTCTCGCTTCTTCCCTTCAAGTAGTGTAACATCAAGCTCATCGCATCTGGTTGGAAGAAAGATACATCATTCTCGTTCGCAAGGAAGTCGGACCAAACCTCCCTTGCGTAAGGGCAATCCCTTAGTACATGGAGTGTAGACTCTTCGCTCACGCCGCAAACCAGGAAGCTAGTTGAGTTGGTAAGGTGCATGCGATGACGTTCCCCATTCATTAGGAGTCTTCCATGCCAACCAATTAAAAGAAAGAACGTATCCGCTGCATGGCTGAGACCTTCCATATATTCTTCCAAAGCGGATGGGCGTTCATTGGTTGACTCTCGTTATCTAAGAGCCCATAGGCTGTCTTGAATGTGAACTCACCATTCACTGTAAAGCGCCACCGGGGTTCATCATCTGTCGCTTCCATTGGGATGCCATGGAGCTGGATCTGATCAATTATACTGGCCGGGAGAAACGCTCTTAGGTAGTCCAGGATCCACCGCTCGTTTAAAACCATTTCAGCAATAGTGATAGACAAAGCTTCTTGGGGAAGTCCCGCGGCCAAATCTACGAGAGCTGGTCCGTCAACCAGCGATCAGCCCAAAATCTAAGCATTTATCCATTGCCAAATTCCACAAAGTCGCATCCGGGATTCTATGTATTACCCGTAGAACTCCCCGCCAGAGGTTAGAGAGTTTGTCTGCTATTCTTGGTACTAGGGTCTCCCCCATTTGTCGAAGATATTTTCCCCATATAACCCTTACCCATAGGCTGCTAGGCTCCTTCAACAACCTCCATGTAATTTTCATCATAAAATCCTCGTTCAGCGTCGTTGCATCCCACATACCAAGTCCTCCTTCTTCCTTGGGGCGGCAGAGGGTATGTACTGCTTCATAGCTCCCCCAGATAAATGCTCGAATCTTTCGATCAATATACTGGGAGAAAGAAAATGTTATACGACTAAGCCACTGACTGGGAGAAAGGTAGGCTACATGGTGTACACCGGTAACAAGGCAAGAACCGACTAAGCCAAAGTTATACGACCGGCCAAAGATAGAGTAGCCACGTTCCAGCCGGCCAACTTGGCGTCAATCCTGTCTATAAGCTCCATGAAAGTATTGCGAGAGACCCTGTAATGAATGACCGGGACGCCCAGGTATAGTCCCAAGTTTGTCGTTGAAGGGATATCCAGGCTGCTACTAAGGGATCCACCAAGAGCTTCCGTGACATTTTTTGAGAAGTACACCCGCGATTTGGGTCTGCTTATCTATTTCCGGGAAGCACTCCCAAAAATTCAAAAATCTGGTTGATAACTTGAACCTGTACAGTAGTGGCCACACCAAACAGGATAAGATCATTAGTGAAAAATAGGTGGGATAGGGCCGGCCTAAATTAGAGAGTTTAATTGGCTTCCAGCTCCCATTGTCCACTGCGGCCTTGATCAAATGACCCAACCTCTTCATACACATGGTGAATATGTACGAAGATAAGAGGCATCCCTGTCTTAACCCCCGGGAAGGCATGAATTCCTCCGTCATACCGCCATTCACTGTATTTGCATTCTTGTTGTGGAGATGCACTGCATTGTCAGCTCTAAGAACTTTTCTTGGAACCTGCTGCCTCGAGCATATCCCAGACGAAACTCCACCAGGTCTGGTCGTATGCTTTGGCCAATCCCACTTTAATCACCATCCACCCAGATCTCCCAGTCTTGGCTCACATGGAGTGAACAACTTCCAGCATAATACAAATGTTATCAATGATATGCCTCCTTGGCACGAAGCACGTCTGAGTCTCATGAACAAGGGTCGGCATAAGAGGTTTCATTCTCTCCGCTAAACATTTAGTGATGATTTAGTAGCTGACATTGCAGAGGCTTATCGAACGGAACTGTTCGATCTACACGGTTCTTTGGATCTTCGGAATAAGCACTAGTAGTGTCTCATTTAGCTCCCTCGCCAAAGATGGCAAATCCCAACATTTTCTTGCACAATCATGAACTGTCGTGGACACCACCTCCCAGAAGCGCTTAAATAAAAGCGGATTTAGGCCATCAATTTCCGGTGCATTGAGAGGTTCCATAGCATAAACCGTCGCCTTGAGCTCGTCCACCCCGAAGTCCACTCCTAGCGCCTCCCATTGCTGCAACTTCAGATGCGGGAAGCCATGTAGAATGGATGAGCAAGCATGGTCTCATCGAGGAAAAGCTCCATATAATACTGTCGCGCCATCTGACATAGCACGTTCTGGTCCTCAATCCATTCACTCTGGGAGTTCTTAAGGGCAACAATGCAGTTTCTTTTCCTTCTCCGGATTGTACGCGTGTGAAAAAACTTCCTGTTCTGGTCTCCCCATGCTATCCCATCCAAACTCGACTTCAGACGCCATAATATTTCCTCCTGCATAAGAACCTCTTCTAACTCTGTTTGTAAGGCCAGTAGTTATCCATGATCCGAATCCCCACCCCACTGCTCTTCTAGCTTCTTGATTTTCCACAGTAAATTATCCTTGCGTCTCATTATGTGACCGAATGTATGTTTGTTCCAGTAGGCAACATCTCGAGCAAAAGCTATGGAACTGCTCTGCAGATCCGACCCTTTCACCCAAGCTTGCTTCAACATAAACGGGAACCCGCTGTGTGTCAACCACGAGGCCAAAAAATTAAATGACTTAGGTCCCTGTGGAGAAAACAACGGGTTTATGCGGATCAGCAAGGGGCGATGGTTAGATCTTACTCTCGACAGGTGACGCATCATCGTTTCTAGGAACTGAGTAGTCCATATGAGGTTTGCGAGGCCTCTATCAAGTCTCTCCTTAGTGCCCCTCGCGGACCCTACTCACATCAAAATGTGCTCAGCCAAACTTCTCGGAGGAGCTCAACATCGAGTTAAAATCCCTTGCCAGTAACCACGCCATATTTACATCTTCGGCTATTGAACGAAGTGAATCCCATAGAGCTCTTCTTCATACCAAAGTCGGGTGGCCGTAAACTGCCGTGAATAGAAATTGAACAGTCCCACTTGTACTTAGACATGGATCATCTGCCCCGTACATTGTTTCTCGATGATTTGAACCATTGGCTCGTCCCACACTAGCCAAATACCACCCAAAAATCCATCTGCATCTACCACCAGAGACTTGTCGAGACCCATCCGATTGAACATATGCGTTGCAGTATACCCACTAATTCTCTGTTCAACAATGACAACCATGTGAGGATGATTCTTTCTCTTGTATTCTTTAAATACCCGAAGGAAGCGATCGCTTCCCACACCCCTACAGTTCCACGTAAATATCTTCAAATCCATTAGCTTGGTGGGATCAATAGGGTATCCCCGGTTTCTTTAGGCTGGGATTGGAAGCACCCCCTTGGGGATGCTCTCCAAGCTGCCTTTCATATCCTCAACTTTTGAGTCAACACTCATATTAATACTCTCGTCATTCGATAACGGGGAATGCAAGATTTGCATGGCCGTAGAAGTATCCCCTGGCATGAGGTCCTATTCCGAACCTCCCCCCGGTTCACCTTCAACCATGTGGCCAACCTTCCGTACCGTCATCGGGCACTTATCCCCGCTCCCAGGGACTTCGTTGGTCGTGGCTGGAACACTGGTATTGGCTACCTCCTCTGTTATGGGGGTCGCCAAGCTTTTATTTGTTACCTCACCCGATTGCTGACTCGACACTTTTCCCGGGACATTTCGAGCACCCGTCGACTTCTCTATCCATACTTGTTGAGTGCGAGGTGTGGAGGCACCAATAGAGTTT